GTCACAGTCAGGGTTCGTATTCACTTTAAATTGTGAGGCAGTAACTTGGAAGAGTTCCAAGCAGGAGACAACAGCAGATTCAACGACAGAAGCTGAATATATAGCTGCTTCAGAAGCAGCTAAGGAGGCCGTGTGGATTAAGAAGTTCATATCTAAACTTAGGGTGGTTCCAAGCGTGGATGAGCCCATACAGTTGCTTTGCGACAACACTGGAGCCATTGCGCAGTCAAAGGAACCTAGGTCTCATCAAAGATCGAAGCACGTGCTCCGCAGATATCACCTGATAGGATGGATGTAAAAATGGATTATATTCCCACAGATGATAACCTAGCCGATTCTCTGACAAAGGCTATTTCTCAGAGAAAACATGATAGTCATTATGAGGCTTTGGGTATACGACTTAGGTCTGATTGGCTCTAGGCCAAGTGGGAGCTTGTTAGTATATGGATGTCCTAGAGACAATCTTTTAATTAGATTAGGACATATGTGGACCTTTGTATTGTTGCAAATAAATAAAAACACTATTTATCCTGTTTCATATTTTGTCTCAATATTACTGTTAATATTTTATATGAGTAACTGGATAAACCCCTTGGAATAAAATAGGTATCTCTTGAGTATCTGTGATGAGATCACGATCATGAGGATTCAAGGATACTGGATATTTATTGCTAATTTTATGTTCCTAGTCTAGAGACACTGAGAATGGGGATCAGTGATCTCGGGTAAGACTAGCACGACTTATCTACTTGTATTCGGATGCAAGGTAAAGACCTCATGAGCTACAGGTATGGAGATGTCTTAGCTAAAGTCGTGGGTGGATCTATAAGGGTATAGCTCGCACTGAACAGACCCACAAAGAGACTCTATGAGGAAATCTCACAGAGAGTATCATTAGAGTAGTCTCTTTATATTTGGGTATGTCTTTCCTTAGACCAGAAGTTATTACCTAGACTGTGTTCTAGAAGGCATGCTTTGACTGTGTACCTTGTTTTCCTGAAACATGGAGACTCATAGGTATACTGTTGGGCTTGTCCTGAAAGAGCACAGGGCTAGGGTGATAAGCTGAAGGAATTCGTCAAATCTCTGTGAGAGATTAGATTATCTGTAAACCGGAGAAATCAGGATGACATTTACAGGGACTCGGGAATCTATGCATAGTAAAAGAGATTATGAGATGATATGCCTTTAGAGTCAGTAAATTGAAGATTCCCTATTTTGAATAAAGCTTACCCTAAACCGCAAGGATTGATACGCTTCCTTACCCTAGGTTTTATGGGAAGGTAACCGAGACGAAAAGAAATACATACAGCAACCAAATATGTGTAATAGGATGATCAAGTCATTAATCTAACTAGCTTTGGGGCAACAAAGCGTTGCTAGTGCTTTGTGTTGTCATTAAATGGGTTGTGGGCTTGTTGGGCCCGAGCCCATTTATGTCAGTGGCTATGTTGGACCTAATGGGTCACACACTAACGCCTTAATGTCATGATGATATAGCATTAAAGGTATTGGGCCTAATAATGGTTGTTAGCCCAAGATGAAGTTTGGAAGCCCACCTGAGAGGGAGATGGCGCATGGTATTGTTAATGGGCTTGGATGGTCCAAGACATTGCTAATTAATTTAATTAGTTAAATTAATTATCAAATATTTAAATTTTGAATTTTGAATTTTGAATTTTGAATTTGAATTTTGAAATTCGAATTTTGAATTTGAATTTTGAAATTCGAATTTTGAATTTGAATTTTGAAATTTGAATTTGAATTTTGAAATTTGAATTTTGAATTTGAAATTTGAATTTGAATTTGAAATTTGAATTTGAATTTAGAATTTAAATGTTTGAACGTTTGAATTTAAATGTTTGAATTCGAATTTGAATTGTCTATGAAAAGTTATCTCATAACAAAAGGATAAGATGAGATCTTGTTGGAACAAATTCCTTGTATCAAGAGAAGATCTATGGAGATCTCCAAGGGCTGATTTGGGGCGCCATTTTGGTGGGAGATGATTGTCATCTTGTCAAACCAACAAGTTCCAATCAGATTTGGTTGTTAAGAGAATTAGTGAGTTAGTTGGGCTGAATAGGGGCGCATGAATTTGTGGTCATATGATGACCATTGGTTCAGAATTTTGACTTGATAAAGACCTAGTCTTATGAGGATTCAAAGGGGAGGTTGTTGGGATTTTTGAATTGCAACAACTCCACCTTTGTCTCACTCACTTGTGCGCCACTTTCATTATAAGTAAAGTAAAAATTCTGATTTGATACATTAATTCTCTCCCTATCTTGTGCGCCAAGTTGGTGAGTTCCTCCTTAAGGTTTCTCAAAAGAACCTAGCCAATTCTTCTATATACCATTCCTAGACTTGTGAAGTTTTCATGTTGGAGACTTCACTCTTCTAAACACATATACCTAGCCTCCTTCTTCACCTATTGAGCGCATAGCAAGTCTCTCTGTGGTGGTCAATTGGTGACTTTCAAGAAAGCGTTCTTGCATCTTGACGTGGGTGGTGTGGATCAACGTTAGAGGGTTTGAACCCTTCAAACCTAACACTGATCGTCTTGGAGTTTTGAACTCACAAACAAAGGTAACATCACATGGCATAAAGCATGATTCTTGATTGCATGTGTAATTCTGCATATGAAAAATTTTGTTTTTCCCTCTCACATGCTACGGCCTTCAAGATCATTTTACCTTCACATCCTTTATTGTAGGAATTTGAATATTGATTGTTCTTGTTATAATTTCCTTCAAAAAACACAGATTGAGGATTTTGAGGGCAATCATCATAGCTATGGGGACCACTACAGAAAACACATGTTACAACATTAGAAGTATTAGAAATAGCATGTGCTTGTTGTGGCTGTGCTTTAGCATCAATGTTCAGATTCAAATTTTTAAGAGTATTAGTCAAAGAGGAAATATGTGCTGATAGTGATGATATAGCATCCAGCTCTAGCACTCCTGCAGCTTTCTGTTGTGCAATTGTCCTCAGATGGCCATTGATAGTTGTTATTTGCCATCCTCTCCAGAATTTGGTAAGCTTCTGTAAATGTCTGATCCAAGAGGGATCCTCCAGATTATGCATATACTATGGCACGGGTTTGCTCATTCAGCCCATTGTAGAAGGTTTCCATCTGAAGTCATTTGGGTATGCCATGGTTGGGGCATTTACGAAGCAGTTCTTTGAATCTATCCCAGCTTTCATATAATGATTCTCCTTCTTTCTGCCGAAATGATGTGATCCCACTCCTTAGTTGAGCTGCCTTGACTGGAGGGAAGAACTTGACTCAAAATTTTTTAGCCAAATCTTCCCATCTTCTTATTGAATTAGGGGCTAAAGTGCTCAACCAAGTCTTAGTCCTGTTGACTAATGAATAAGGAAATAGCTTCAACTTTATTGCATCAGTTGTGACTCCTTGTATTTTGAAGCTATCTGCCACGTCCATGAAATCCTTCAAGTGCAGATGTGGATCTTCACTTCGCATTCCATTGTACTGGCCAATTGTTTGCAGCATGCTGAACATCACGGGTTTCGGCTCAAAATTTGCTGCTGCAACCTCATGCTGTACAATCCCCGAGTGGAGATTGTTGAGTGTGGGGACACCATGTGATCTAATAGGTGTCTCATCTCGTTCATCCCCATTCATAGATCTTTCTACTTTCATGTCTGCAGTTCTAGGTATTGCTACAGCTTTGTTCTGTCCTTGCCTCCTTCTCCTTGCTCAAAAAGTTCTTTCAATCTCTGGATCAAATGCAACTTCTGACATATTAGGAGGAATGTTCATACACTAGCTGGAATACCTGATAAGACAGAAAAAAGAGTGTAACAGCCCGTTACGTACCGGTATTGTTAACATTAATTATGATATTAAGCGCAGTTACAATCACAGCAGTTCATTTAAAAAAACGAGAATAAATTTTTTCCGACTATTACGCGAGCATTTAAATCCTAAAAAGCGTAATAATTAAAAGCTGTGACCGTAACCGTAAACTCTTGCGGAAGACTTATTTCAACTATTTTTATAACTTACATCATTTATTAAGAGTTACTAAGGAGTTCCCATAAACTCACTTAGCCTATTTCCAACTTTACATTTTTACCAATTCGAACATGTTTCACTCTAAATTTTTCTGCGACCAAACCGATCGCAACCAACCCTTCTTCTCAGATTATATTTTTGTATTACTTAATTCCCTTTTTAACAAGCTATCATACGCTCAATTCGGAGCTCATTTGCTCCGGTTATCGCCGTTTGAAGTTGGATAAGCAATTAGCCCAAACAACCCCAAAAACAGCTCCAAACCACTCACATTACTCGAATTACTGCACTCAATCCGCTCAACCATTTGCTCTCAAATTTTTATCCCACAAACTAGACATCTAAAACTTCATTTTGATATATCACACGCTTAATTTGGCGGAGAAACGAAGCGGAAATTAATTTCCCAAATCCGGTCCAGAATCTGCCTCAGGTGCAGGGGCACATGGGCAGTCCGTGTTTCTCTATTTTTTTCAGGCCGAAGATCAACCCAGAATTTCCTTAAATTTTGACACAAGGTAGAGGACATCTCAACCTTCAAAATGGCGTATGGCACGTCCCTAGGGGACTTCTATGGAGGGATATGCTCTCCCGAAGTTCGCCTAAAATCTGCCAATTCTACAGAAAATTCGCCAGAGTTTCCTTTGTTTTTCCAATAATCCCAAATTTGTAAAAGATCATTTAAACCTCAAATGTACCTAATAAACACATGATAATACAGTAATAATCCAATGGGTGGCACACACAAGGACCAACAACGCCTTGGGGCACTTACAACCCAATCCAGTTTATAGTTATTAAACATAGAGTCCATATTAATCATTCTTAAGTAGTTGCAATCACTAACACTTTTTTCATGCATATTTCCATCATACATATTATCATAACCTAAAATAGGCCTAAGGCCCTTCCATCATAATTAGACATGCATCAATACTATTATAATATGGCTTTACAAATTACAACTTGAAACTAAAACTTCAAATTACATTCTTCTAAAATTTCAACTTAATTTAAAAGACAACATAACCAAATACATCACTACTAGACTTAGGCAAAATGGCATGAACAAGATGCTAATGAAGCTACTAATAAATACAAATGACATGTTCATGCCCTAAGTCTAGCCTAGGCCACACGGCCAACAAAATGCAAAATATGAAGCGCTCCAGCGCTCACTCTGCGGGCCTCTTGCCCGAGGCTCCTGCTCCACTGCTACCTCCTGAAATAAATGCCCCGAGACGGGGTGAGATATACGAATATATCTCAGTAACCAAGAGGTTCTGGAGAAAACTCCACCCAATGGTTCACTTCGATGCATATCAATAGAATACAACAACCACTTTGAAAACGGGGTATAGCAAGGGATTTAGAGAATGGGGAATATAAAGAAAACAAAATACGACGATACGGGATGGTAACCCCAATTCCACGTACGCCCTCGGCATATATAAGCCTATGGGTATCATCCAAGGTGTGTTCACAGAAACCACAACCATGATGCCCAAACCAACCAAAACGCCAAAGACATTCCTAGTGTGCTCCTACCCGGATCACACACCATGACCGCAGTCAACTGGAACTCCCTCCTGGAGACCTATCCAGCGGAAGTCCGAAAATGCCCGAAGGCTAATAAAACTGTCTACTGGCCAGAGACTCGGTACCGCAGTACCCATAGCAATAATGCATGCATGCTCATGTGTTCTATACTATTCATACACACTTCCTACCGTTGCCATCAACTGGCAAGGTGGAACAGAAAAGGGGAACAAGCCCCAGTACCAAGAGGTTACCTTAATTCGTGTTTCCACAAGCTCCGTAGCAGCTTATCCCTCAACTCGGTACACAGCGGAATGCCTACACAGAGGACATTCCCAATCACTCTCAGTTCAACCCATACATGTTAATTTATAATTACACATGCAATGAACCAATTTCTTACCTCAATCCACTTGGTCCCGGACCAAGGGCAATTCACTGATTCAAGATTCGGGATTCAGGTCGATGTACGGCAACCTATACAATAACGTACATCCATCAGTACTCGTCAAATAGTATCAAAACGCAAAAACACAAAAATCCTCCCCATCTTCCCTTGATGGTTCGGCCATTGTAGTGTAAATGTGAGATTTATTTTTCTAAATTTTCTTTCTCATTTTGTTACGTCTCATTAGGTTGTCAATAAGCCAATTCAAGTGCCGGTTCGTCATTTTCGCGTCGGATTACATCAGGAAGCGAAAACCGCAAAATCCCCCCTTTTTCCCTTGGAGGTTCGGCCATATAGGTGTTAATTGGGGATTTATTTTTCTAAATTTTATTTCTCATTATAGTACCCATCCTTGGGTTGCCATAAGGCCATTTCAACTGTCGTTTCGCCGTTTTATGTCTTTTAAGCATCGTTTCGCTAAATATTTCGCTCTAGGTTCATTTATGCCAACTAAACCACTTATTATTTTTCCATTGATTCTAACACTTGCCAATCACAACACAACCCATCTAAGCACTATATAACTACACAAATCATCATCCAAATCATTTTTCATCATCAATTCACTCATTTTTCCTCAAAGGTTCGAATCTTGCCCTATGACATTCCAAAGAATTTCCATTCAATTTTAATCACTCCAACCTTCACACAACCTATCATATCATCATACCATCATGCCACAATTCATCAAACAAGTCTCAACACCAAAATTCACAAGTCCAAAATCATGATCATCAAATTTTTCTAAGTTAAATTCATCAATTTTCACCAATAAATTTCATCGCATTTCTAGCTTTAATACATCATTCTAACACATTATCATCTAATACACATTTTCAAATTGAGCTCTCTAACGTCACTATTCATCATATCAAAGTTTAGGTTTTCAAAATCAAATCATCACCATCAACCATTTAAAATGCAAGAACACTCACCCAAATGGAAGGTACAAGGCTCCTCCTAACTATACTCCACCATTGGAGCACTTGGAAGCTCCAAGAACACAAAATTCCTCACCAAAACTGCAGCTGTAAATGGCCAAGATCTCCTCACACACGCGATTTCAAGGCTCAAGAGTGGTACCAATGTGTTTAGGAGGTGTTTTCCAACAAGTTTCAAGACAAAAATCGTTGGATTCGGTGGAGATTTGACCAAGTTATGGAAGAAAGAAAGCTTGAGCAATTCTTGGCCATGGAGGGGCTGCTGCACGCGGGAGAGAAGAGAGGGAGGAGAGAGAAAGTGTGAAAAAAAAGGTGAGTTTGACTCACTTAAGTCACAGGCGGGTCCCACACGCGTTTTAACTTTAATCAATCACCTAATTTCAACCACAAATTCATGACCTACATATTTTTCTTGTTCATGTCATATTTTTGTTTCCCAAAAATACTGATAAAATTTTCACGCTTATCGGTACAATTATACCGCAGTATTTTTACACCGGAAAATCACTATTCATCAATTTTTCCCAAAATGACTCAATTCCATCAAATTTCATCAAAATCATATTTCCTAACTCAAAAAAACATTTACAACTCATATTTGAAACCTAGAGCTCAAAACTCAATCGGCACGTTTTACGGTGCAATCGTACCGCGGTATTTTTACCCGCGAAAAACACTATTCACTGATTTTTCTGAAACTTGCCTGTCCACTCAATTTTTCGTTCTGAACCCATTTCCAGGGTTATTTTTACCATCTGAGACCTTCTACTCAATTTTTATCTTCCTAGGGTTGCGTGTTGGCTAATTACCGTTTTGCCCTTTCTTTGTATTTTGGCCTAATCTTTTGGATTTTCGTGCAAGTGATCCCTCTACCCACAATTAACTAATTTTACTTAGTTAAACCACGATGCTTAATAACATTCAAGAATTACCTATATCTCTATAGCATAAATCCTAATTACCTTGCAACCCTCTCTCGATGAATCAACAAGATTAAGGAAAATATAACACTTTATTAAGCAACCGAAAGGAAAATCATGCAACAAAGTTTAGGCAATACTGTTTACATCACAATAAGGGTACACTATCACCCAATCCTAACAATTTAGGCCATAATTAGGTGGACAGAAAAAGCAAGGAAAGAATAGGACTCCATAAAATTAAAGTAAAGAAAACAGGGACGTTGTTGTAGCACTGCTCTCGCAGCAACCATGAGCTCCACCACCATCAACCTTGCCTCAGCTGCCGGAATAGTGCAGCAAGTTACTGGGTTCAATGATCTCTCAATTGAACCTCAGCTCCATCCTTTGATCCGCAAGATTTCTTCCAACGAACCCTCAAATTCTTTCCAAGTGTTTCCTCCACTTTCTCTCTCTAAAACTGCCTCCAGTTAGGTATCTCAAAACATATCAGTCGTGCTTTCTTTTTGTAGGGTCTGTTCCTTTATAAGCTTTGATATTCTGGGCTTCAATCATCTCTTCTTATCCATGCAAATCGTCACTCAAATCTGCCTTGTGATTGATTGAGATTGATACTTTATTTTGCTGTCATGCTGACAGAGTGTGTTGTTGTATGTCTCATAGGATTCTTTCCAGATTTGCAATTTAGATTCGAATCCGATTTGTAATCGTTGATTAGATGAAGATTATCTTGATGATTTTGAGCGTGTATCCAAATCAGATCTTTTCGTACACGTTCAGAAGCTTCTTCCATCAAGTTGGGCTTGGATCCATGGCTTGCTAGTACTTATGTCAACAATATGCACTGCTGACCTCATCTGCATCGCTACAGCACTGCTTCCCGATGCTACAACATTGACCTGCAGTGAAACAACAAATGCATTTAAATGTTTCCAATACCTCAATTTATATCCAAATACTCATAATTAACATAATTCTCAATTAACTCATGAAATCATAAAATTCATGCATTAATCATATAAAATCAAGAGAATCATATGTAATCATAGTACCAAAACATCACAATTAAGCCCAAAATAACTCTCTTTTGGAGAGTTATCATACATGCAGTATGTTAGAGGACATCTTTGCGCACCATTAATTCCCTTAAAGGTATATATTAGATACATGTCCCATAAGTAGAAATAGCCAAATATTAGATGTCGAGATGGCATGTTGCAATATAAGTGGTATAAAAATATTGTGGGTTGCAATAATATTATTATAAAGTACTGTCATAATGAGTTAAAAAGATGAAAATATATTAAAGTCAAATCCTTTAATATATTATCTTGTGTTAAAAACTCTGATGTATATTATCTTGTGATCAGACTTATTTTATCTTGTGTTTTGCTGTGAAAATTCTTACCCATGAATAATGAAAAGGGAAGATATGGATCTCGCCTGCAGAGATCCTTGAATGATAAACAGTAAAGACATGGATCTTACTGTGAAATATTTGCAAAGTTATGAATTTTGTGAAATTGATCTCATTGAACTTACCATTTTCACGTGATATAACTCTCCTCTTTGAAGAATTATAAAGATTACAGGAACTCAAGGCTGATAAGAGGCAAAGACAAAAATCTCGTGTAAAATAGATAAACTCAAAAAAATTTACATTTGATATCAGCAAAGTTATTATTTTGAATTGATTTAACTTGATCGTGTTGCACTTATCAGCTTGATGATATGATGTTGTTATTCTGTAAGATCTGTGGAAATTGTAGGTTTTACCAAACAAGAGATATGTGAACCTCGTCTACAATCTGCTGAAAGCGCCTAAAGCTCTTAAGCTTAGGTTTAAAGAAGCTTGAGGGTAAAACCTGGCAAAGGTTAAATATTCAAGTCTTAGCTTGAGGATAAAGCCTAAGGGTTAGAAACTCAAGTATGAAGAAAAGGGAGGTAAAACCTTAACTGGTTAAAACTCCCAGTGCACGAAGAACAAAAGGAAGGTAAAATCTTAACTGGTTAAAACTTTCATGAAGATTAATGAAGGTAAAACCTTAACTGGTTAAAACTTTCATGAATATTAAGGAAGGTAAAACCTTAACTAGTTAAAACTTTCATTTGCGCGATGAAGATTAAGGAAGGTAAAACCTTAACTGGTTAAAACTTCCATCGTGCGAAGAAGCAAAGGAAGGTAAAACCTTAATTGGTTAAAACTTCCATTGCGCGAAGACAAAGGAAGGTAAAGCCTTAACTGGTTAAAACTTCCAGTCTCAAAGAACCCGCATGGGTGAAGTTAATATGTAAAGACAAGAAAGAAAGGAAGAATCTCTCCCAAAAGCGACATCAAAACTCATAACAAGTGACATCAAAACAAAAAGCATGCAAAATAGTAAGGTACGCAAAATATATGAATTATGAACTGTATAAAAATGCAGGATACAACTATGAAGCTCTCAAGAACCCATACAAAGTACATACCATAATGCCAGATAAAGGAACATTGAAATGAATTTTCCAGATTGATAAACAAATAAGTCATCCTGCGAACTCATACATCTCGCTACTCATGCTTTCAACATAAGCAACGAGCTGGGGGCTTCTGATCTGGATTTATATTATAATAATACATGGCCCAAATTAAAAGCCTTCATCACTAAGTAAAGACAGCAGTCAACGAAGGCTGCAACCTCATCTCTATACAAGCCTATCTCATCAAGCTCCTCAGTATTAAAGGTACAACTGTATTACTTTGGCACCAAGACAAAGCAAACTTGATCACTAAGCAAAATCACCAAGCTGGTCATCTCCCAAGCTCCTCATATCTCTACTATAAAAACATATATGTTAACACAAAGGTACATATCCTCTTCTACATAATTAAAACCGTCTTGAGCCAAATCTGACGTATACCCCCCCACCTTGTTCCATTGAAGACCCATGGGTTAAAGATGCTCCAACCGCAAGATACTCTGACTCAAGGCGAATCCAGGCCATTTGTGTAGAGGAAGATCACATGATCAGCTCAGTTGTAAAAACGGTTCTGATCAAAAATTAATATATTTTATTTTATTTTTAATTTCTTCATTAATTTATCAATTATCTAATTGACCTGAAGTGATCAATATGATTTTGAATAAGTAGAAAAAAATATGTATAAAATCAACATTTAATATTTTTCAAGTATAAATGATAAAAGTATATATAAAAAGAAAGTAACTTATGTATTTTTTTAGTCTAATTATTAAAACTAGCTAGGTCGAAACAATCAGTCATGCTGATGGATATAAATTTTTTTAAAACTTAAACTAAAAATTGAAATACTGCATTGGTAAATTTATTCTTCAAAAAAAAAAAAGCTATATTCTTACTAACTTTAACAATAGGGAAAAATATGTGTCATTTTAAAGGACACAAAATTATGTCATTTTAAGTGAGAGAAAGAGATAAATCATGGAAGAGAAAATAGGAGAAAAGAGTTTTAAAAGTGTGAGTTCTACCTCTTTGTACGAGTGAAATGACATAACTTGTATAATTTAAAATGACACACTTTTTTTTTCTTAACAATAATTACAAGTAAAGAATTTAAAATATTGTAATTTTTTTATAAATAGAAAATGAAATTAAGTTGAGATAAAATTATCTCCAAATTTCATAAAACATCTTTTTGGGTATTCGTTTCAAAGAGGTAATTTGGATAAAGTTTACAAAAAAATAAAATAAACATTTATCGTAATAAGAGAAACACTTTTCTTATAAAATATGTATTA